TCATATTCTTATATATGCTCCTTAATCCAATACAAGCTCTTTAGAATTTGTTATATATAGTCGGGTGTACAGTGTACTGTACACCCAACTAACACAAGGTTAGTTTTTGCTCTATGAAAAATAATCATCAAAATGAGTACAAAATATACATGAGTATACGGCACACCCGGCTATATATAACAACCTCTTCAAGCTCTTTGACTTTCATAATATATACTCCTAGTCAACACACGTCTTTTACTATACAAATTTTTATATGCGGCTGGCCACATAGTGCGGTAGGGGTTACTTGTTGGGTGTTACTGGTTTTTTTAGGGGTTACTTGTATTCTGGTGTTACTTGTATGGATGTTACTGGTTTTGCCGGAGGTTAGTTGTAAGTGTTACTTATATTCTGGGGTTACTTGTATGGGTGGTACTGGTTTTGGTCAAGGGTTACTTGTATGGTGTTACTGATTTGGTATGACGAAGTTTCTTGTAGAAGTTACTCAGAATATAAGTAACCCCACGATACAAGTAACCCATACAAGCAATTAACCTCATAATACAAGTAACTCATACAAATAACCCTAGAATACACGTAACACCATATAAGTAACCCTTATCGCCCCTTGTCGCCCCATGTGGCTTGCCGCACTGAAAAACCTCTATTTTTATTAATACGAGTATGAGTAATATATTTGATATGCACTTTTTTGATAAGCGAGAGTGAGAATTTGGGGTTTAAAAGTGGGAATCAGAGTTATAGATTCATGAAATTTTGTTTGGGTAGTATTGGAAATTAAAAGGATAGAGAATAAATATTTTAAACATCATTAACAAATAATAAAAAAAAAAATTATTTGTACATATAAACTACATATTTAATTCACAACTGTATTTTTAATGATTTTTTTTTTCTAATTTAATGCGTTTAGTGTGCGGCTGGCCATATCATGTGCCTATTTGTAAAAGAACAAAGTAATCCTTATAATACTGATCGAGTAACCCCTTTAAATCTGACGAATTAACCCTTGAAACACAGACCAAGTAACCCCTGTAAAATTGACCAAGTAACCCTGTGACACTGACCAAGTAACCGCATGACGGTTTACCACACAATAATGTGGCCAGTCACATACGAAAGTTTGTGTTTTTTTTTCCATCTTTTCATTGATATCAAATTGGTCTTGGTGTACAACAAACAAGGGACTTTAATTAGATGGGATCAACACTCTTAACCCTAGTTTTATTATTTAATTATTTTAATATATAACATGAAGAAATTACTCCTAATATTTTAAAAGGAATATATATACATTAATTGAGATTAACCCAATAACATTTTGCAAATTCAAAATTTCATTAATTTATAATATACTAATAAAACATACAGTCAATAGCATACAAGAAAAATATCATACATACTACAAATAAGAGTGGAACTAATCACAGTTTAGTTGTCTCCTAATAAAAAAAATTTCTTCTTTGGTCACCTAAACTTCCGTATATAGTGCATGAGTTGTTCAAATGTAGCATGCAATTTCTTCTTTTACTAGAAGACTCAACCATACAATAATTGGTGCTTTGACAAGTGTTAAGGTAGAATTATCATAATTAAGAAACTAATCACAATTTAGTTGATGATCACATCACCCTCCTAGAGAAACTAAAACAAACATTCCATCTAACCTAACCAATAGAAGATTCATGCACATTCCATTAGCCTTCAAAATCTTTGATTAGCCTTATTTTTGGTTAATTATTGCTTTCCAACTTCAGATTTTTCTTTATACTTAAGATATTCCATATAATAGAAGTAACACATAATTTTTTTTTTTTAAAACATAAATTTTAAGGACAACAAATTAATAAATTCATGTCCTTAAAAAAAAAAGATATTGATGTTAGATTTTAGTGGTTGGTTGCATAAAATGCATTTATTCATAATTTCCTAAAATAGTAAATCTTCACATCAACCTTTAATACCAATTTTGTTTGAGGAATGTAATTATAGTGAAAATGAGTGAACCTTATAAAAGACACAAGTACATAACTATGCGTTGTGAAATATGTAAAATTCAATAATGTGGGGGTAAGAGGTATAAATTATTAGGTGAGAAAAAAGCATTATTTGTGTTGTATTCATGTCTTATTTAAGCAAGAAAACTAAATTGCAATTAAAATGTACAAAAAAAACCAGTTTCTATTTTCACAAACATACTACTTTGGCTCTCATCTTGGTCACAAGCCAACGGAATTTGTGTTAAATAATATCATGGATTCTGCTATGCATGTGAACAACTAACTCATTTAGTGTTCTAGCTATATAGAAGTACTTATTCACATAAGCCTAGTAAAAATGATGGAGATAGGTTCCTATATGGGTAATCTTTGCGTACAAGGAGAGCATACTATTAAGTTAAAAGTACCTAACTACATACTCCTAAGTCCGAACTTATAATTTAGGCTCTTGTCCGACCTTCCTTGCAGAAGCTATTGGAACATTGTCCTTAGCAATGGCCTCCTTCTTGTTGAAGATTTTAATTTTTTTTAAAATATTTATTTTTTTATTTTTTTATTAAAGGCGATAATCTCACAGTTATTAATATTTTACAGGGTCGTTTTATCAGCTAGCTGACCATGGAAACTTCAGCTTCTTATGGCGGATGTCAAGGGTATCTATATGGATTCTTTTTCGAGCATTCATGCACGACATATCTATTGGGAAGGAAATCAGGCGCTCTCTCGGCTATTCTACTCCGACTCATCCAGATAGATCTGCATGTTTCCTTATAACGACCGTTATGGTGTATAGATAGCTAGGTTTAGTATATTCCCAAACGGATAAATTACACAAGCACGTATTCTATGTGTGTGTGTTGCAACAAAATAAATCAATGCTATTCAAGTGTGTTAATTACATATTACAACAAATTAAATGCTAACATATGCCAACAAATTAAATGCCCGTTATATAGGCTCACGAATAACACGCTAAAGCTGAAACTAAGCAATCAAACAATGTATAAGTACGGAGCATAGCAAACTAATTTCACTGCTCTTCCCTGAATATGTCTGAATTGTTGCTGACAAATTAACTAGACAAATTTTAATCCTGAAAATCATCACTAATAATTAACATCCATAAATTAATCAAAGTCCTATACGAGAAAATTTTAAGCACTTAATTCAATATATAAAAAAAATTAGTGTAGATTGACAGTATAGTAAATTAGTAAGTGTAAATAAACTAATCAAAAAAAAAAAAAAAAAAAAAAAAAAAAAAGAAAAGGAAAGAAAGAAAGTGTACATTATGCATGTATGAGTTTTTAATTTTTAATTTTTAATTTTTTACCTGGTATATGAGAGTGTTGATTGCACACGCGACATAGAGCTAGGTTCAATTTATGAGGATCAAATCATTAAGGTGTGTTTTTTTCACCTAAATAACTTAACCAATTAGATCTGATTAAATTTTATTGTCATAATGTATGCATATCTGATTGGACTTGATAAGACCTAATTTTTTTTTTTTTTTTTTTAAATTGGTGAACAGAACAAGCCATCATTACTAAGGGCTTGTTCTGATACGATTATTTTCAGTTCAACTCTAATAAGTTTAGTTCAGCTCAGTTAAGTTCAGTTCAGCTCCCAATTCCCTTCTCTAATAAAATATTCAGTTCATTTCAGTCAATCAGAACATGCCTTAAATCCATCCATAAGTGTGACGTTTCACATTAGGATAATTTTTTATTTTTAGAAATTAATTATCTTTATCTTATCCATTAAGTACTTTCTATCAAACCCCTTTTTTCACAAAATTATTAGTAGATACTTTTATAAAAGTTACATCTCGTCCTCATTTTTTGGCGATGAGATATGATATTTAAAGTCCCACATGCATTATTAGGCAATTAATTATCGACCAATTTTGTCAAGTCTATCACTAGGTGAAAAAAGGCATTTGGCAGCGGTTTAAACCCGGTCTAAGGCACCGGTTTGAACCGCTGCCTATGTGAGGGGTGCCAAAAATCAAGTTTTTGGCACCGGTTCAAAACCGGTGTCATAGGGTGGAATAGGCACCGGTTAAACGGTGCCAAAAAGGCCCACTAAATTTTTTTCAAAGTTTTTGGCACCGGTTAACCGGTGCCAAAAACCCCAAAAATCAATTTTTTTTTTGCTTAAAAATTAAATAAACTAAATTAAATAAAAATACAAAATATAAATCAAACATCAGAATCAATATAAACGATTCTGTTTAATATATAATCAATAAAATTTTACAACATAGATCAATAAAAAAAATTACTAATAAATCAAAAAAAATTACAACATATAAATAAAAAAAAATACAATATAAATAAAAAAAAATTACAACATCACAATCTAAAAATCCCCATATTCTTGATTCTTGATTCTTGATTCTTAGATTATGTATACCTGCGCCAATTAAAACATAAAAAATCGAAAAAAACCCAGAAATCAAAAAATCAAAACAAGCTGCGAAAAAAAATAAAAAAACCCAGAAAAAAAAAATCGAATAAAAATCGATTAAATTAAAAACAAAATCGAAAAAAATCCAGAAATCAAAAAATCAAAACAAAATCGAAAAAATAAAAACAAAATCCCAGAAAAAATGAAAAAAAACCCAGAAATCATAAAAATAAAAACAAAATCGAACAATAAAAAAACCCAGAAATCAATTAAAATAAAATCAAAAACAAAAAAAAATTAAAATCGAAAAAACCTAGAAAAAATCTAAAATCAAAATCAAAATAAGACAACGAAAGTAAAAATTGAAACACAAAAATCGAAATCGAAAAAAAAGAAAAACAAAAATCAAAATCAAAAAACAAAAACAAAATCCCAGAAAAAAAATGAAAAAAACCCAGAAAAAAACCTAGAAATCATAAAAATAAAAACAAAAACGAACAAATCAAAAACCCAGAAATCAATTAAAATAAAACAAAAACAAAAAAAAAATTGAAATTGATATCGAAAAAACCCAGAAAAAAATCGAAAATCAAAATCGAAAAACAAAATTCAAAAATCAAAAATCAAAAATCAAAATCAGAAAACAAAAACCCAGAAATTGAGGGAGGAGGAGACGTGTTCTTGGTGCTCTCCGTGGAGGTGTTGCGTGTGCTCGTCGTGGTGGTCTTCGTGGTAGCTTTGGGAGAATGAAGAAAGGGAAGGAGGAGATGAGAAAGGGCGAAGGAGGAGATGAGAAAGACTGATGAGAAAGGGCGAAGAAGGAGATGAGAAAGATCGATGAGAAAGGGCGAAGGAGGAGATGAGAAGAGGAGAGAGAAAGAGTAGGAAAGAAGAGGAGGGGAGAAGCGGCGAGAATAATAGGGTTTAGTATTAATATGGCTGATTTTTTTTTTTTTTTTAAGTTTAAGCGGTTTTCTTTAAATTAAGGAGCGGTTCAATTGGCACCGGTTCAAACCGGTGCCCTTTTAGTTTTTGGCACCGGTTTGGTCTGAACCGGTGCCTTTTATATTTGTGTAAAATGGCGCCCAAATTTGGGCCGGTTTAGGGCACCGGTTTGGCCTGAACCGGTGCCTTTATGGGGGTGCCTTATTGTATTTTTCTACTAGTGTATTTTGTGATAAATATGATTACAACAATGCTTAAACTTAATTAGTATGATTAAAAAAAAATATTCAATAATATTGATATTTGCAACCGTTATATCTTACATGAAGTTTCTAATACTATAAATACGCACGCATACAAGCAAACAAACCAAACACATTTCAAAACACATACTATAGCTAACAAATATTTTCACAAGAAAAAAAAAATGAAGAAGGTAAACCAAAGTCATCCTAGATTAAGAAAATCATGGGAGAATAAAACCTATGAACAGATAATTTCTTCCTCAGAAATGGACTCCTTAACAAGTATTTGTGAAGCTCTCTTCCCTCCACTTGATCCTCCTTCTAAACTCGATCATAATCAACCAATCGATAACTCTATCAAATCCTTCTATCGATCCTCTGGATCTCAAAAACCCATACCTTTCGAGGTAATGATCAATTACCATATACGTACATACTTTAATTCCTCTCTGTCTATTATTTTATAGTCACATTGATAGTGTAAACTTATCAGGGTTTTTTTTTTCTTGTGGTTTAGGTAGCGGGGGTGATGAAAGATAGAGGATTGCCGGAGGCAGTGTTATTGGTAAGGGTAGTATTATGGTTACTATCAACAAGATTAGGGACACTTTTGTTATGTGGATCTCTTTGTTTTGGTAAAGAATGGCCTTACATAACAAAGTTTTCTCATTTGGCAACGGAAAGAAGAGAGAAGATTCTACAGAATTGGTCATGTCACAAGTTCTTTAGTCCACTTAGATTGGTCTTCTTTTTTCTCAAGTCATTGTGCCTCTACTTCTGCTTTTCCTTGGTAATTAATCTTTCTATTCTTATTTTTTCTGCATATATACTTCTAATAAGTTTATTTGACTGCCTTTTATTTAAATGATATACAAATAGTAGATATTTATGTCATATAATATTAAGCTTTGAATTTCGCCAAAAATAAAAAATATTAAGCTTTGAATGTTGCTCAAGGATTTAGTTACTATAATTTTGGCCATCTCTTGTTGTAGTAAATAGGTTATTAGATATATAATTGTATTGTTTGTCAATCAATATCACGATGAATATAACGTTGTTTTTATCTTTATAATTTCAAGATGTACACTTGTTAAAAGATTACATGATATGTAGTTACAAGAATATATACGTGATTAAAGTAAATAAAAGATAGAGAAACACCATAAGTAGTATGTTCAAATAGTATTTTGAGATAGACAATTTTGAGATAGACAAAAACGAAAAAAGTGTAAAGGTAATTAGCACGGGATAGAAGATTGGAAGAAATATTATACTCTATGTTGTCTGTGTGTTTCAAGAAAATATAGTGTACACATGGATTGGCATAATATTAAATCTACTTAGGTCGACTTTGAGTAGATATTTGGTACGAAAGATAATCATTTTCAAAGATGTTATTTTTCTCATTTTTCTTTGTTTGGCCCGTAAACTTCATAGAATGGAATGAAGTTTTACAAATAATAAGTTCGAGTGCTCGGAATTTACTTATTTGAGGAAGTGCCATATTTTTTTGTCCCTTCTCTTTGTTTTATCGTACAGGGCTCTTCTCGTGCATGGTCCAATTCCTCCATAAGAGTATAATAATACATGAGCTAGGAAACAAAATAAATAATTAGGAAAAAAAAATTCAAAATAAAAATCACTAATCTAGCTGAAAATTTCCCTTTAATTCTCTATCACACATTCCCAACAGTATTCTATGATTTTTGGGAAGGGACGAGAAACGTACCTAATCATCCAATTACTTTCGATTTTATTTTATGGTAAGGAATTAAATAAAAGAAGTTTGAAAATTAAATGATATGATAAATTTTTCATTAGAAAAAAAAATCCTAAGTTGGTCAACTGTCTTTAGCTTCTACTACTGTAAAATTTGATGGTTATATATAGATAAGTCAAGCAAGTTCATTGCAACATTTAATGAGCTTTTAGAGCACCGCTAATAATTTATTATGATATAATAGTCATTTGGCGAAAAGGTCTTTTGATTTGTATAGGAAAAGAAAAGGTTTGTTTTGATCCGATCATTTTTATATAAGTCAAAATTTGTTTGTATAAGCCGAACTGAACATAGCCTAACTTATGTGTATCAATTTTGGTTATTCCGTTTTATTAAGAAAGACTTTCTTTCAGAGAATATGCATCATGGATGGCGTGTGCGTCATTATTACCTACATTCAGTTAACTGTTGCATGACATTAGAAGTAGAAAGTAAGGAAGGAGAGAAAACCTAATAATTGGTTGGTTCTTTAAAGTAGTACTAATTTGTACAAGTAATTTATTTGCATAGTACGTTAATTAGCTTGATGGAACAACATTTATCAACTTTACCGTCCAAATGTAAAGAGCAAGTCTTGGGTGAATTGAAATCGTTTTAGATCTATACATTGCTTGTTGTGTTATAATGTAGCATACCAAATCAGAATATGCAATACTGATTATTCATGATGAACAGGTGGATGATAACTCTCATAACGCGGTATGGGAGGCAATAGACTACAAACCTGATACCACCACCACAGATAACAAAGCAAACAACCAAGGGCGGCCTCTAGAAAGTGGCATTGTCGAGACCCTCTATGAAACTCCGTTAACCCTATTGCAATCTCTCACGAGTAAAGGGCTCGATGTCAGAGAGGATCCCAAAGATAACCTCTACAAGATCAAGTGTGATGTAGTCATTGTGGGATCTGGTTGTGGGGGAGGAGTGGCAGCTGCAATCCTTGCTGCAGCGGGCCAAAAGGTGGTGGTCCTCGAAAAAGGAAACTACTACTCTGCCCCTGACTACTCCTCCCTTGAAGGCCCCACGATGAACGAGCTCATGGAGAAAGGAGGAATGATCCCTACCACTGATGGGGCTGTCATGCTACTTGCAGGGTCTACTGTTGGGGGAGGGACAGCTGTCAACTGGTCTGCTGCCCTGAACACTCCAGACCCTGTCTTAAAAGAGTGGGCTGACGAACAAGGGTTAGGCTTGTTTGGTAGTCCACAGTACAAGTTTGCCATGCAGAGTGTAACTCAAAGGCTTGGTGTTACAACTGAGTGTGTGAAGGAAGGATTTCAGAACCAGGTCCTGAGAAAAGGGTGTAAGAATTTAGGCATAAAGGTCGACCAAGTCCCACGGAATTCCTCTGAGGCTCACTACTGTGGATCCTGCTACTATGGATGCAGGACTGCGGACAAGCAAGGGACTGATGTGACATGGCTCGTTGATGCTGTCAACTTAGGAGCAGTGATAATCACTGGCTGCAAAGCCGAGACGCTTCTCTTCACAAAAAATGGCCGCAAGAAAGAGAAAAGATGTGTTGGAGTTTTAGCGAGATCATTTAATGAGAAGATCCCGGGAAAGTTTGAGCTTGAAGCCAAAGTGACCATTTCAGCTTGTGGGTCATTACTGACACCTCCGCTACTGATCTCAAGTGGACTGAGGAACAGACATATTGGAAAGAACCTCCACCTCCATCCATCCCTGATGGTGTGGGGATATTTTCCAGAGGGACCCACTTCACAATTTGAGGGAAAGAGCTATGAAGGTGGGCTGATCACATCTGCACATCAAGTGGCACCAGATCAAATGTCCAACTCCATGCCGAGGGCCTTGATAGAGACACCTGCCCTAGGGCCAGCTGCTTGTGCTGCCCTCTTCTGCCCATGGGAGTCAGGCAGTGATATAAAGAGGAGAATGTTAAGGTATTCTAGGACTGCCAATTTGTTTGTGATGGTGAGGGACAAAGGGTCTGGAGAAGTCCGGTCAGAGCAGAGGATCAGCTATGGGTTAAGTGCAGAGGACAGAGAAAATATGACAGCAGGGCTTCGGAGAGCCTTGAAGATTCTGATTGCAGCTGGTGCTGTTGAGGTTGGGACTTATAGGAGTGATGGGCAGAGAATAGAGTGTAAAGGAAAGAGTGAGGATGAAATAGAAGAATTTTTAGGATCAGTTTCTGCTACCAAAGGGCCTTTGACAGCTCGTTTCTGGGCAGTTTACTGCACGGCCCACCAGATGGGAAGTTGCAGGATGGGAAGGAGAGAAAATGAAGGTGCAGTTGATGAGAATGGGGAGAGTTGGGAAGCAGAAGGATTGTTTGTATGTGATGGAAGTGTTCTGCCTAGTGCTGTTGGTGTTAATCCTATGATCACTATACAATCTACTGCTTACTGTATTGCAAAGAAGCTTGCCGAATCTCTAAAGAATGGGGAGTTTAACATCTAGATAGGTTTTCGATCTGTAATCTGTATTTCTAACTTACTAATAAATTTAAAATTAGGAGAGGTTGTTTCAAATAGAAGTAGGGAGGTATGAGTAAACTCTTGCTTTTTAACTGTGTGGTTTTTCTTTGAAGTTTAGATCAATATGTTGGGCAATAGATAAACTGTTTTATTTTTCACCAATACAGCAGTTCCAAAATCTAACTCAGAATCATGAACCGGTGTAATTTGACAGCCATACAATCTGATCATGAATACACTTGGAATATGCATTCTTATATTCCAATGTTATAGCCTATAGGTGACAGGTTCACAAGATAAAAGCAGGAAAAAAAAAAAAATCAACTCAGATGATACTTATCCAGAAATCTATTCGGCCAAATGCGTCAAAAATTTATTGCATTTAAGAAATCGTATGTCATTGTTACAAAAAATAAACATACATTTAGGTCAATATATATTGCTGAAACAAAATCTCCAAGTTTATGGAGACTGAATTCAATGGTGCACCTTCGGTACAGAAATGGGCTTTGCAGGTTGCATGAGTATATATTCAGATGCATAATGAGCGAGAGGTTTTCACCTGTAACGGATACTTCAGCGCAGCTCTTTTAAGTTCTGTGGAAGACATAAACAAAAAATTGCATTTCTTCCACCACTGAAGAACTTGAGATATCTGTACAAGATTTCAGCTGACAGTTTAGCCGTCAGAATCTGTTTCGCGGAATGGCAGAGGAACTGCTTTTACAGCCCTGTACTTGCCCACATTGTTTAGGTGCTCATTCTCCACTCTGTTATTTGAAAGAAGATAAGAAAAACCAAGTCACAAAAGGTTAGGAGCCTGTTACAATTCTGAGATAAATGTCACAAGTGAGAAAAGCTACTCTTTAAGGGCTTACCTATAAAAGTTCCAATGTCCTCGACGAATTACTTCTAGAGAAGCCAAAGAAAAGTCTAAAAATTTGGCTTCAATATTTCCAACTTTTATAAACCTCATGACACTCTCCACCCAAGCAACTCTTAGGACCAAATTGATAACCTACAAGGAAAGTTACCATTTGAATTGGTTTCTTTTTGACATGTAAAAAAGAAAAGAAGGGGAAAGAGCAAGATGTGAACTTACAATGGAAATATAGTAGATACTTTTCTTCTTCAGAACAAGATCATCCCTTAGCCACTGGTTTCTGGAATTGGGATTGAAAAATCCCCAGTCTTGCACATAATCCCAATATAGCTGGTATATTGTGGCCACAACAGAAGTCAACACGACTAGAATTGTGCTAATAACCGTAGGTTCTTGTTGCTGGGCATATGTTAGCCTAGCACCAGCAGCGACCATGGCAGAAACATACTTGCCCAAGTTAGCTAACTGCTTAGGGTCAGATTCATCAAACCATCTCCTGGCACACTTGAAGGTCATGAAAAGGGAAGACACCAAAAACAGAAAAAAGGGGGTTAACAATTTATTTAAACTCTTGAGTACTCAAGAGGTGCTAGAGCAGGAAATACTGCTCTTTGCATCACACAGAGCAGAAGGACAAGAATGGAAAGCACTTATGATGTGTTCAGCAGAAAATCATTAATAATTGAACTAGGTACCTGCATTGCACGCCAGTAATATGGTGCAAAGGAGATGACATATGCAAGCTCTCTGTACATTGTTCCTTTCTTGCATACATCATAGCGGTGTGTCTTGAAAGTGCCAGCAAGTAAATAGCAACCTGTGGTTTCCATGTGCCTAAGCAGCGGAATCTGTAAAAAATACACATTTGATTAGTATTTGGGCTCATCAATGATAATAATATAGTTAAGCTGATAACATCATGGTTCCACTCTCAAGAAGTACCTGGCTAGTCAGCTGATCAGCCATGAAAAAATCTACCATCAAAACCTGTTACATGATTTCCAAAACAGACTGATCAGCTTAAATTATATACCTACTTTGTAAATCATTACATCAAAGAACAGCCATATAGCAAGATCTCAAGCAAGCATAAATTAGTTAAACATATTACCTTATACAGTGGAGAGAACACTATGTTACGTATAACCTTGAGGAAGCTATATCGAGTTGAACGATAAAATGCATTGAAGGGGCAGATTAGGATTACAAGAAAGATCTGAAAATCCAAGGTAAAATAAAATTATATTCTTCCTCTGACCATATGTGGTCACTGCACCATCACAATTGCACATAATATGATTGTAGTAGGAGAAGAGTAGAAGACGGAGGAAAATAATATTTGTAACAATGACTAACCAGGAGAAGTATGCTAGGAATGGCGTCAACTTGTTGTGCAGAAAAACCACTAGATCTTAATATGAGGTGAATGACCAGGGCACTGACCACAGCAGTCATCAAGGAAGTACATATAAGAAAGGCATCCCTGTACTTGAGAGCTGTCTTCGGTGAAAACTCGAATATGAATGTATAATTGATCCTAGTGGCCTTCCACATAAGCAAGTTGCATCCATACATGAACATATGTAAGCTCAGCAGAGCAAATGTGCTGCACCACAAAGTTGATGAAAGAATAATTTAGAGGGATATTAATCATTCAAAAGTGTAAACAATACCCCAAAAAAAAAAAAAAAAAAAAAAGAGACAACAGAAGGTACCCCTTAGGGCCTGAGGACTCCAGAAATAAATTTTGGGACCATCAAGGGCCGAGGGTAACAACCAAGTGGCTTGACACCACTAGGGCATTCCATGGTCCTTTGCCACACTATTGTCAATGGGCATAGGAGGCGTATATTTGCAGTTTTGCACTCTTCGTCCCAAAATGTTTGCAACTTTTGGAGTTTATGATTCATGATTTTGTGAGTGACAGTTTCCAAAATTTGCAAATATTGCAGGACTGAATAAGTATAGATCTTGCAGAAATAAGTTTATTTCTCTCATTTTATTTCATGTTCTTTACAAAGGTTCCCCCCCCCCCCACCCCCTTTTTTTTTCTTCATAGTCTTGGGTGAAAGTCTCACATGCGGTTCTTGGAACTTTGGAAGTGCTTTCCACAGTTAACATATGTCAAAAAAGTCTAAGATTGGCAAAAGGACGTCATGTGATTTAGGTCATTATGAACCACACAAGAAGAAGATTGTCTTAGTTGGACAGGCCAGAATCTAGCTCAGAGAATTAATCTCTTAGCTCGCTTAGGTGACCTTGGGCTGTACTTCACCTACATTATGCATGAGTTCCCTCTGGACAGTCAAGGACAATAAAACCTATGTGACACATCCTATGATATATGCTACAGGGTTGATAGTCTCACCAATGCCCTTTGGGCCTCCAATGTCAAAAGAAATTAAAATAAACAGTAAGTTTCTAGGTACCATCCCAGACCTTTAATTAGAGTTTCAATTCCAAGTACTCAACGCACTATTAGAGATAGATAAATAGAGGTTTAAGAAATATATTCAAGACAACCTGATGATTTATGAATAATTAAATTCTCAAGGGAGCTAAGGCAAAGGCAATAAGAGTTTGAAAAATATAAGAAAAGATTTGATGATTACCTAAAAATAGGATAAACGGTCTCCATGTAACCAGACTCATCTTTGCTTCCAGGCGAAAACATACCAGAAATATGAGCCAAAATAGCATATACAACAAAAAGGGTCACAAAGCAGCCCGTAAACAACCCTGTTCCAAACAAACCAAAAAGAGTTTATGAACCAGCTAAAAATCATGAAATTTTCTTATTGTTGAGGTTCATGGGTTCAAAAAGATATCTATTCAGTAATAAGTTGCTCAATCTTATAGACAATTTTCTCATCATATAATTGTATTAAATTATCATGCTAGTCAAATTATCATTATCATTGACACAACAGTTTCAGTTCATCTGCCTATGACTAGTGAGAGTTATTTGAGATCACATTGGTATTCAAATCAAACAAATAATAGTGCATTGGTATTCTTAACTGATAACTAATGTGGAGCAAAAAACAGTTAGTATGGAGCTTAAAGAATGAGAAAAGAAGGGTCTTTGTGGGAGTAATAGATAACTGCAATTTCTTTCATAATTGATAAACACATATGAAGTATACTATTAACTTAATTTAAAATGGTAGTGGAAAATGATTAATCATGTGATACAACCACCCACTTAAGAAAAACTACGTGTCAAAATTGAATTCAACTAAAGGCTAATTGGTTATATTAATGCTAATTACAAACATACATGTAATTTAATCAAGCGGCAAACAAACTTTGTGAATCAATTATATCATTGGCGGCATTGTCAACAACATCTACATGCAGAGTGTATTGTGATATGAAAGAATGACATTTTATCTAAGAATAAAGAGGTCAAATATAATTAACTGTTAATTTTTTTTTCTTGGGCATTAGGTACAAGATAAACTTACCAACAAAAAAAGTAACCATGTGGGAGTCTTTCTGTTGCTGAGGACGCAAGAACTTCATAGCCTTTTTCCTGTCGTTGTCGGCAAAGTGCTTGATGAATAAGGACTCCACTTCATCCATTAGTCTAACCACCTTTATGACACCACCATGAAAAATAGCAACTCAATTAGATAACTTTTTTTTAACATAAACTCAATTCTACAATCAACAAGTTGGCAATACAAAATGTTTAACTCTCAAAAGTTACAGCAGCCACTGCCTAACAAGATCTTGAATCCTTCCTATAGCCTATTGCTCTTGTAATCTTATATTCATAATGTTCAGACTATCCAACTTTACGACGAAAGATTCCAAGTTCAATCTACTTTTCCTCTACATTTTGGTGGAAAATGATGCGTTTAAGGGACTCAATTCAAAGCATTACATGCTATTAACCAATACGCTAGAATATTTCAGAAACTACAGAAAGCAATTTATGATTCACATAGAGGGGGAAAAAAAATCATTTCCACACCTTGTCAGAATTCATGAAATGGGAACTCTTCACTGTTTTCAGATAACCAGCAGATGCTTGTCGATTCGCTACCTGTTCAAGCAAATGAGAATTCTCACATTAATCACAACTGATCAAAATTTACTTTATAAGAAAATTATTTCACCATACAAATTTACACAAGCATCTTTTGCTAGGGAAAAGGTTAACGAAGCCACTAGCGTAGATTTTATTCCAAGAACAACTGTAAGAAAAGTCCATTTGGATAACTAAAAGCAATTTGGAACCATTGAGCTACCAGTTGCACTTTCTGAAAGTACACTTACCAATATTACCACAATGTCTCTTTACCCCAGTGTATGCATATTGACATTCTAACAGAAAAGGAGAGTATACCTTTTTTT